GCAAGACAGCTAAATGAAGCTCACCAGTTTATTATTTTTATTTCATTTTATTATTTTATTTAATTTTATTTCATTATATTATTTTTTATTTTATTTTATTTATTCTGGACAAGATAAACATTTAAACTAGTACATATTAAAAGAAGAAAGGGGAAAAAATAACAGCAGCAATAATATTATTGACAGATGGGGCGGAGGGGAACGCTAAGTACACAAGGAAAGATGGGGGTCTTTCCCAATCCAACAGCCACATCCAGAATGGTGAACCCCAGTGGGGCCCCCAATCCAGCTGGCAGAGCCAGGTTTTCAAGCCAAAAAGGAAGGGAGAGATCTGCAAGCTGTGAGTTATAAGAGGGAATGCAGAGGAGAAAGGCACGCAAATCATAACTAAAAATCTAAAACAGCAGTAGTAGTACTCAGGGCAAGTGCGTCTGAAATTGTGATTTCGTTTTAATTCAGAATGTCTGGCTTAGTTCAGTGCAACACTTGTTTTGCAGCTGTCTTTTGCAGTACTCTTTTCAAACTTGGATACTGTCCTGTCTGTAAACAAATCACTAGCCTACAAGGACAGATTACTTATCTAGGGTCTGTAATCTCTGCTCTTCAGGCAGAAATTAGGTGTCCAGTTCAGCCCTTCTGCTCTTTTGAGCTGCTGCGCTATCAGCCCCTTCTACCACAAAGATCCTGCAGGAGAAGGGCAGTGTGTGGAGCACCCTGGGATCTGGCAGGGTGAGAGCTGTGAACCTTAAACACAAAACGTTCGCTGTGCCCCTGCATAACAGATACAGTGCCCTTGCTGACTTTATTAGGGACACTAAGGAGACAGGACAACCATTTGTCTGAAATGGTATAGGGTTTCCTGCCTCAGAAGGGGGTTGGACTAGATGACCTCCAAGGACCCTTCCAATTATTATTATTATTATTATTATTATTATTATTATTATTATTATTATTATTATTATTATTATTATTATTATTATTATTATTATTATTGCACAGTCAGCCAGATATTCAGACTGGATTTGGCATTTTGTCTACCTATCGAGTCCTTATCCAGGACCTGGGATAGGCAGATGTGGATGTTTAATGGTATTACAGATATCGTCGCAGGATGGAAGCAGTTCCTAGTAAGGCCGCCTTTTGCAATTGACTAATGGCAAATTTGTCAATGCCAATGGTGTTCAAGTGGTGCTCCAGTTGTTTTGGGATTGCACCCAAGGTGTCTATTATTATTGGTACTACCCTTGCTTGCTTTTGCCACAGTCTTTCTATTTCTTTGTATATTATTATTAGTAGTAGTATTAGTATTAGTATTAGTATTAGTATTAGTATTATTATTAGTATTATTAGTATTATTAGTATTATTAGTATTATTAGTATTATTAGTATTAGTATTATTAGTATTATCGTTATCGTTATCGTTATCATTATCATTATCGTTATCGTTATCGTTATCGTTATCGTTATCGTTATCATCATCGTCATCGTCATCATCATCATCATCATCTCACCTCTGGTTGGAGAACATCCCAAAGGGTAGGAATGGCAGGGCAGAAAAGGCTCTTCTCCTAGACAGCATCAGCCAAAATTCCTGGATTGACAAGGGTGCACAGCAAGCCTTCTCTGCATCCATGATTGGGGTGGGCCGATCCCATTGATCTGAGATGATTCATTTATTATTCCTTTTCTCTTATGCTCAAGTCAGAGCACAGGAGGAGGCTGGTCCTTCTTACTTTAGAGCAACCAGCTAACAGTGATCCACGGTTGAGGATAAGCTGAGAGTTGGATCACCCCAATCCAAACTCAACACCTCAGTCGCCATGTTGTACTTCC